AGCATATCGTCGAAGGCTCTGCCAGATCTTGCCGCGGCTCTCGTTTTCAACCGGTCTATGCGGAGCTCGAATGCTTGATTCTGGTTGGCCAAAATGCTAACCAATCAAAGCACATCCTCACACACTCGTGTTAGACCAGAGTAACGGTTCCCAAAAGATTACAAACCATGCCTCTTTCTCGGTATATAGTATGGGATCACTCCGCTTGTGACAGTTTTCGCAAACAGTACGAAGTTTATTGGAGTGGGCTTATGGTGACCATTCATGAAACTTGAGTTCCCATCATCAATTTGATCGTGTTTTACAAGCAAAGTTCATTGCGAGTTTGTGTGTACTTTGCGAGAGATGTCATTTAACTTTGCTCAACTAATAGTAAGCGTTCAGTTCGGTGTCCATTCTTCAACCTGCCTACATTTCCGTGGTTTGTTGACTCCCAACTACTTTCCAAACTTCAAAGGTCTCATTTCAGACTTCCGTTTACCGTCCATAATCTCCCGGCGTCGTTTTGATAGAGTTAGTGGATATTTACTTTCTCTTCCGTAGCATCCCCACTAATCCAAACACACTGTAATACAGATCATGGATGAACTAGTCAAGGAAAACTTTATCACATCGGAACCAATTTGACATCACGTTGATTCATCCGGACACTAATACCGCTCAAAGTGAGATACTGCGCCACGGAGGCGTAAACTGTAGACTTACGATCAAGGGGACAAAGTGTCGCTGCGTGAGAAGATCGTCAAGGCCCACAGGCAATCTGTCGTGTTCTTAGGGCCTAAATTACTTTCAGGCCATGAAGCATCTTGTGGAAATGGTTTTCTGACCCAAACGGTTACTTTTTTCTCTGGCCTTCCCACTCTCATCACTTGATTGGTTGTTATGATTCTGTGGGCATACGCTGAGCAGGCTCGTCAAACGGTGACGGACCCAGAATTTTGCGAATAGTTTTTAATATCTTGTTCAGTAGACATCTTGGCAACGCAAGTGTTCGGGCTCGAAAACCTCCTGAGGTCCCGTGTACGCAGCCTGTGACTGTGGCCGATTTGACTGTGATCGCGTGCTCATAAGTTGAAATCTGTCCGTTTTGTGCGGGCCATACTTTTCTCCGGAAAACTCCACTTATTAGCTCCGAGCAGGATACAGGTTATCTTATAGAGCCCTGCCAAATTAGTATGCAAAGGAGCGTAGTTGGTGAATTCGTCCAATTCAGGTCCAAGGAGAAAACAAATTTGTGGAAACCCCTGCACTACACTTACTTGGTGAGCCCCTAGATGGGTAAAACTTGTCATGAACTTTCGAAGAGTTTGTGAGTAGTATATTACGTCCAGGCGATCTTACAATGCACGTCCTAGCTGCATACTTAACTGGAATAGCAGGTGAGTTCAAGTAAGTAGTGAACGATGCTAACAGAAATGACCAAATTAGTAAGTACGAATGTCAATCAGACGTCAGGCGAGTTCGGCTAACGGTCAACACAACTGGAACTGTTGTCTTGAAATCTGGGCCTCCCGTCCCAGCGATCCTTTGAAATCCTTAGAAGGAACGATGTTATCTCACAACAGGTCGTTGAATCAGATAGCTGCTGTGACTGTTTGCGGATAGTGTCTGTTCAGTACTCGAAATATCCTGAATTTTACGTTCACTCTGTGCACTTTTTCGAGGGGCATATGAATATTAGTGAACTAATTCACTAGGACCATAAATTGAAGGACCTTTCCCTTCACTGACAGACATCCGTTGTGGGTGAGGTTCCTGGATGGTCCGGTGAGGGAACTCAGCCCGCTTCTGCCACTGGGGAGTTCGGTCCCACTTCCGGCGCGACGTCTTCCACAGCTGGACCAGTTCCTTTGCTCGATGCTCAGACCATCCCCCCAGTGCCTCTGTATGTTCTGTTAGCAATCGATTCTTTGCAAACGAACCAATTTGTCGCGGAAAATGAAGGTGGGAAACGCAGCACAGTCTTTGGTAAGTCGATATTTTTTCATCGTGTTTGCCGTAAGTTGGCGGTTTTTAACCTTCCGTTTTTCAAAATCGTTCGTTTTATTCCGATTTTCAGATCCCTTGGATGACAGCGATGTACTGACGCTCACAGACGAGTCAGAATTGTTCAAAATTCATGCAAGTTGACGATGCACTCTGTTTTCCCTTGCCCTGTTTCGTTGTCGTTATCCAACCCATGTTATGCACCAGCCGTCGGATAATAATTCCTGACGATGGATTGGCATTTCTTAAGAGTCTGTCGATGGTGAGAAAGGCCTCTAGGTTTGGACTCGTCGGATGTGATCCATTTAGACCGTGTGAAACCGGCAAATGAGGACTTTATAGAAGGAGCCGGGTGACGGGATTCTCAGCTCCTTACAAAAGGAGACGTGAATTTTTCGCGTAACATCAAAGCTGTAGTACAAACTGCCTATGGGTCTAGTCGTTGCATCTACAGCAGCAACACTCCTTGTTCCTCATCCAGTCCATAGCAGTGTACCATGTGTGTGATTACTTTCCTCGATGACCCAGTAGCACTGTTTCGATTCCGCTTTGTATTCTTGTTGCGGCTCTTTGTGTAAATGTTCGGAACCCTTATCTCGAAGTTCCGCACCATGCCGCCCACCCCCCTATTCGCTATCGCGGTCCCCGTGAATCCTACAAATGACAGCGTAGACTTCCTAAAGAATACCACGACCGAATGATTTCATCTGGTTATCCATGCTAGAAGGGTTTTATGGTGATCCTCCTTATACAGAGGAAGTCAACTCTTTTCTAGGTGAGTGTATCGTGGCAGAATTGCCTACAGATACGAATCCCGCAATCACCTGGGACCATCGAAAAGTGTCCAACGGGTTTCAAGCGCCTGGAATTCCTTCGTAGGCTTTCGACCCAACCGAGACAGCACTCAGGTCATAGTTCGAAGTGTTGCGCAAACCGGTCACATAGCTCAAGCGTGAACACCTTTTCAGGAGTGATGAGTGCGCTGGTGGAACGGAGGTAAAACACCCGCTTCGAATGCGCGCCGGGTTCAGATCTCGGCACCGTCACTGACACGCGCATGAGCTCTGGTACGAGCAAAACTCGGGTCTAGTACCTACACTTCTAAGTGTGCGCTAACCGGCTACGCCAGGGGAGCAGGACTGTTCAAACAAGAGTGAAGTGAATACGAGTGCCCATCCGGTCCCATGGGGTAGGGCTCGTTTGACGGTGACGGTTGTGAACAGTCATTTGAGCAGGGTAGTCATTTTTTTTTTAATTACTGTCATCGGTGACATTAAGCGACACCGAAAGAGGCTTACGCTGCTTTCAGACAGTTTCGTAGGCTGAGGTTAGTGGGGGTGAAATTTTTTCAGAAAAAATCGCGGCAAACAACAAACAAAAGTATAGCATTGTGAGTAGTATATAATTTACCTTAACATTCAATCAAGTTCACACATCTTTCGACTCAGATGCCGGTGAACCCCTCTCATCGCTGAAATAATATAAAAGATTTTTTTATGGTTTACCAATCTCTTTACGTAGATCATGCGGGACTTGTTAACTGAGTATCTGGGTTCAATTAGAACATGAGGTTGACGGAAACTCGGGGACTGCGCCTACTTGATGAGCCCGAAACAGAAGGGCGAAACCGGTCGTGGGCTGTCGAAGAGTTTTCAGCAACCTTGTGAGTAGTTTCCTTCATGAAAAAGAGTATCTCTTAGCCTGTATCCAAGCCTAGACAGGAGAAGTCTAGATGTAGAGAACGGGTTCGAACCACGAACTTTCCGGTCAGTAAATTCGTGCTCTAACCATTGAGCCATCTGGCCCACCTCCGTTTCAACCCAATGTTGCGTGATGACATAAACGATTGTTGTTCGGTTTGGGCATCCAATTAGCCCGAATTCACTGCGTCAACCTGTTTGATTCCAGTGACCTCACGGTCTGAGTTACGTTGATATCGGATACTTCCCACTCGCGATTGTTTCCTCTAGTATTATCAATGAATCGACTCCTATGAAGCCATGATTGCACAGCTGCTTCCTTATTGCGCTCTGTCTACTACGGTTGAAAAGGATACTTTTGCAACGACAGTCATGTGTGTACGACTGCTATTGCTCCGTGCATCCTAGTGTGTGTGCAGTGCGTTCTGCCATCAACATCACCATGTGATTGCACAACATGTGTTCCACAACTCGTAGATACCGTTGTATGGCACCTTTCTCGACAACCTTCCTAATGAATTCACCAACTTGACTTAGTGGACGTTTAATGAAATTATCATGAGACTGGTGTTTCGAAGGTATGGGGCTCCAGAACACCTTTTGTGAATGATGAAACGAAGGGAATCTTCAGGAATCGAAACTGTGTAAGCAAATCAAAGCGAGTCATCCATATACTTACATTCGTTCACTCGTTTTTGTGTATGCATAGGACGATGCCGATGAGGCGACTGATCTCACCTCACCCTCGCCCACTTCGAAATTCCGCGCTGATCGATTTCGCGCCGGGAGGCAGTCCAAGGATGGACGGATGTCCGCCTATGGTGGCATGAGTATGTGGTCGCTAAAGCCATCTTCGTTGGCTGCCATGTGTCAGTTCCGACCAGAAGACGCACAGCTACTTGCGGAACAGTAAGTTCGTGTAAATCGCTTTTTGCTGTAGCTGTGAATTCGTTCACTGACCAGACTCGCAGTCATCGTCTACGGCAAAATTGATGTGAGAATGCTGCTATCTAATTTCCTTACAACCTTGCTCACAACTCTTGCTTCGAACCAGTTGTTCTCTTACTGGCTAAGATGCATAGTGTGTGAGTTTTCCGATCGTTCCACTCAAATTAGTTTTGGTTCTGGCGATGTGTTCGCAAAAAAATGTATGTAGGCCGGAAAAACCAAACTATGAAATCTTACATATTCGTCCCATATATATTGTTTGCACCGTCTGCTTATGGTTTATGCAATTCTGAAGTCATATTTCTAACCCCGTATTTTTTTTTAAAAAATAAGCCCCGCCCACCTGGACAAGAAAAGCATTGGGAGTAGTCTTTGGCCACATAGGTGTTAACTGGAAGAAATCCACGTTTACTTTAATGATGGTTTACTTCTGTCCTGGTTCCACTAATATTCGGTTCATCATTTCTTGAAATCAGTAGATAGTGCCTTCAAATCTCACCTGACGACTGACGAATAATGCGTCGAGGGAGCAAGGGAATAATTTTGAAGCGGAACTTTGACTGAATGTTCCTCGTTGTAGGAGCAATAATACTCCAGTAGTGTCCATATTTTTTATGCGTTTTGCTAGGTTAACCGGAAGCCTTCGTTTCCTGTTTTCTTGCCACCCGTAATCTTCATTCAGAAGTGCGTTTTCTACGTTCTGTATGGCAAATTGTCAAAATGAATGGTCTGTTCTCGGAGAGCCCCTTCTTGGGACGATCAGTGCATCATTTGCAGATTCATGTTGCGACTGCATTTCGACACAAAGCACTTGGTTTATGTTTTCTCTATGCCGGCTGATAAACTGAACTTTTAGGTATTCACGAGAGACTCAAC